TATTGCCTTTGAATTCGATGCATGCTTTAAATGTGTCAGTTCATGTGTCAGGTTATTCTTGTCCTCCAAATGCAACAAGTGAAGTCACTGTTTGTAAGGACATACTAGGGGTGGGACGGGTAACTCAGGTACCCGGGTCAGGTGGGTACTGAGTAGGACCCGGGTACCCACAGGACTATCCGGACCCGTGGTTAGTCAGGTGATACATTGTTTAATGACAAAAATTATCTCGATTTCTAATGGTTACACTACAAGTCACTAATGTTCGCATTTCTTTCTGACTATGCACCCATTGCTTCTGACTTTTCATATGGTTGAATAAAGATATCACTTCAGTGTATGCATGACCAGATTGTTTGAGACATATATCTAAATATGTTTTGCCAGGGCTATTGTAAGAAAATACCCAATCAGACATTTTGTACCTATCTCTTCAGACCTACAATGGGTACCCGGGGAGGGTCGGGTAATAGGGAGATGGATACCTGGGTAGTAAATTAGGACTCGTCCCAGCCCTAGTACATACCGTTATTAACACATGCGGGTCTTGCACGGTGCAATTGTACATAACGTGATTTGTATTTCCATTGTGAAAATCAGGTGCACAGAATGACTGCTGAAAATGGACAGGGTGGGTAGATTGGGGTGTGAGTATGCTGATCTTGGAACAGTAGCCCTTCAGGGGTGTTTGAAATTGAGGTTGGTCCAGGGGTTGGTGAGATTTGCTCCCATAGTATTTGAATCATGGGACACCTTCTTTAGTCATTAAGGTTATGACGTGGACCCCTGGACTTGGGTTGTTCTGTGAACAACTGCCAGGTCTTGTTCCTAGGGTGATGACACGACAATATGTCCATAATATTGCCGAGTGGTGTAAAACCACATTCAGTCAATAGTCCGTTCACATATCAGAATGATCCCAGTCCTAGTCAACTATTCTCACAGCTATTTCATGCTCAGGATCTAGTCTTCACACCTTATGTAATTTAAATGTGTGAAATGACATGATACAGGGTCTTCACATTTCTTCAGTCAATTTGCAATGACCCACTCGAGTCTGGTTCCACTTGTGGACCTGGGGACATGCTGTGATAGTCTTTGTTAAAAAAGGAAAAATGTGCAGGGATCGTTGTCTTAAGAATATACTGAACAAACATTTTTAGAGATCATGAATATTTATATATTTTCTTGTTGTGAAGAGGGGTCACGGGTGGCCCAGTCATCTAAGGCGCCGCGATTCGCTGTGCAGAGTTGCGTCCCTTGGGCACGCCAGAAACCTATGATTGTGGGTTGGAATCCCGGTTCGCCCCGATTATGTTTCTAGGTTTGTCAGCACCATACCCGTGCTTGTGGGTTTCACCGAAGTGATAAACGTCTGAGACCTGCAACACTTCGGGCTTTCCTCCCACATTAAGCTGACACGCCGCGATATAACTGGAATGCTATTAAAAGCAGCGTTAAACACAACTCACTCACTTGTTGCAAAGACTGAGCACACAATTTTAAAATTTCCCCCAAAATGGTCAGGATCCCTCACTTTCTAAGCTTGTAACTTTCATCTTGCTGCAGATTCATGGTTTGGGGTTAGGAGTACCGTATTCGACGTAATAAGCGCCCACGGCGATAATTGCTAACATATTGACAAGTGAACAATCCCAATTAGCACTCCTTCCGATTGATCAATGTACACAAGACTTATTTATTCACGTATAATACCCACTCGTGTGTTATATGCACCCTTAATTAAGGGCAATGAAATTCTGGAAAAATATATGTCGTACATAAACATTTCAGGCTGTCAGCATAAACCACGAAATTTATCTTTCAACTCTGTTTTTTCCACCAAAATAATATTCTAATAAGAGCCCCCTATTTCTAATTTTGAGAGCGCCCTGGGCGCTTATTGCCTCGAATACAGAATTTGACTTTGTCATAATTCTTATAGATTTCCCGTATTCTTGTGTCGGTTGATAACATACTTGAATCAATGCAGCCTTTGGAGCTTTGGGAATGGGATTTTTAGAATTAACAAATAACATGCAAATTACTTGTGTGAGAACATCACAGTGCCAATAGACATCCCAGGTGACTAGCTGTCTAATGAGCAAGTCATAATTTCGTGTAGTCAAATGATTTTAAATGATATAGATGAAAATGCAGACAAGTCTTTTTAGTGCCTGTAGTTATCATTGGTGATATACAACTGATATTTGATACAATATCCAAGGGTAAGCTAACATTGTTGAATCTGTGTAGACAGTATTGTTAGACATTTGTAATTTATAAACTGTACAGTTCTAATGATTATCATGCTTGTATGAATGTCTGTGTAAATGTGATGTCATCCTTTATGTTGTCCTTGTCAAACACCATATTATACTCTTGCTAAGAGCAGTTATCCAAATGTATATATCATGAAAATATTGTAAATAAACATCAATCAAAACTTGAGGTGTTTTATTGTTTTTCTTCCATTCCAAGAGTTCTCCAGATTTTTGTTTGTTTTTTGTCACAGTCCGCAATATTCCAGCTGTAATACAGAAGATTTTGTTTGTTTGTTTGTTTTACGCTGCACTCAGCAATATTCCAGCTGTTTGACGGCGGTCTGTTTACCCACAAAAGATCTACCATGGTCGCATCCATATGACATAGAAAGTAAAACAAGTGTGTTTCTGTGTGTGTTTTTTATGCAAACAAATGACAAATTACAAGAAACAATAACTAAACAAGGGATAGTCAACAAAGTCGTCTATATCCCCCACCCAATTTAACATGTTATTGGCCCAAACCAGGTAACTGACCCAACATTTCTCTTAGCCCATGTCAAAATAGCTGCAATGGAAATTCTAAAATAAACATCTCTAAAACTCCATAATATCAAATGGCACCAGTTCAGTATGTACTTTATATATAGACATGCAATGTTTGGCAAGGAAATATTTAACAGTTTATTTGTTATACTCTATAAGTGAACCCACCTTTTATTAAAACTTAAATCCAACTTGTTGCCATGGAAACGTAAACAATAAAAATTTCTAAAAGTGCTAAATATCAAAAGGCACCAGTTCAGTATGTGCCTGGTAGACATGCAAAGTTTTGTAAAAAAGTATTTAACGTTTTTTGAGTTACGCTCTGGAAACGAACACCACCCTTATAGAACCTAAGTCCAACTTGTTGCCATGGAAACATAAAAAATAAAAATTTATATAAAATTCCTAAATAGCAAAAGGCACCACTTCAGTATGTGACTGATAGATTTGCTAAGTTTCTATCAAATACACTGAATGGTTTTTGAGTTCTGCCCCCGGAAAAGGAAATGATTACGGACAGACAGGCGAACGGACGGACGGAAGGACTGACTGACTGCTATATTCCACCACATTATATGCAGGGGGTTATAAAAATTAATAACCCCAATGTAACCATACAGAAAGAATACAGAAGTCATGCCATAAATAACTGGAGCACAAGTTAAAGTAGAAGAATCAGTCGGCAAGAGCACCATCTCAAGACTTTGGTATTGGTTAGGGCTGGGACAAGTCCAAATTTACTACCCGGGTACCCACCCCCTATTACCTTACCTACTACCCGGGTACCCATTCTAGGTCTCAGGAGATATCCGAATGGAAACTTTTTTTAGCATAGCCCTGGCAGAACGTATTTAGATACATGTATTAAACAATCTGGTCATACATACACTGAAGTTGACTTAAGTTATATGTTTATTCAACCATATGAAAAGTCAGGAAGAATGGGTGCATAGTCAGAAAGAAAAGCAAACATTAATGACTTATAGTGTAACCATAGAGTTCCAGATAATTTTAGTCATTAGACAATATGTCATGTGACTAACCACTGGTCCGGGTTGTCCTGTGGGTACCCGGGTCCTACTCAGTACCCACCTGACCCGGGTATCCGAGTTACCCGTCCCAGCCCTAGTATTGGTACCAAGATCACGGTGACAACTCAGGTCAGGCCATCCCAGTGTTACAATGGTTGCCCAGGGCTGCTCTGTCATTTGCTGTGAAGGTGTACCTCAGCAGCATCTATAACTTCTTCTACTGTGACATAGCGGTGTCGAGCATGCAGTGGAGAACTGTTTGGTTCAGGGACAAGTGAAGATTTGTGCTGCATTGAATTGATTGGACAGCCATTGTGTGCCAACACTGCCAAGGAGTGAGTGAGTGAGTGAGCATGGTTTTACACCGCTTTTAGCAATATTCCAGCAACATCACGGCGGGGGACACCAGAAACGGGCTTCACACATAGTACCGTTGTCGGGAATCGAACCCGGGTCTTCGGTGTGACGAGCGCACGCTTTAACCACTAGGCTACCCGACCGCCCCTACACTGCCAAGGTTGCTTTGATGCCAACTGTGTACGGAAGATTGACAGATATGGCGGTGGCAGAGGAAATCTCCTTACACAGGAACATCAAACCTGAACCTCATACACTGCAGGCTGAGTGGGCTGAACTTTCCCCCAAAATCATCTGTCCTCTCATCATTCCATGGGCACTTATGCGTTTCTTTGTTTGGGTACATATTAACCCAGTCATGATATTCAGTCAAGAGTATGGGCGGCAAATTGGACAAAAATATTGAAGTTGAAATAATGGACAAAGGTATGCAATAATTGTCAAATGTTACGAAAAAAGAATGAATGTTAGACATTCTGGAATGTTCGTTTGTTCAGTTTTCAAATTTTTAATCGAGAACTGTGTCAACATATTTTTCAAGCATAGTCTGAAATGGAAGTCGCCAGGTTGAAACGAGTGCCGTAAAGCTTAAGAAAGCTGCTTTCTAATTGGCTGATGTTGACTTCTTGTTAGTCGTTTCAGTGGTCGGTCAAAATTCGCGAAAGGTCGTTCTGACGTGACCCATAATGGGATGTCCTCAGATCTTTGTTTAGCTGCAGCGAGAACTTAGATCTGATTTTAATGAGATTAAGGCAACCCGTGCCCTCTCCAAAGGAAAACAGATAACTATGACCACATCAAGTACAAATGAATTGTTTTATTCTTCATGAACATAACCAACATGATGGTCATACAATGAGATTTTGTGTATCAAACTTATGTCCAATATCAGCCTCATGACCCAAGCTGATAGTTACTTCCCTTGGACCAGAAATTGAGTTGAGATTGCACTCTATCTTCAAGTGTCCTTCACAAGTTAGTCACAGTATTATTAAAATGATTGATGATGGGAAATGGGTGAAGACCTCCAACTCATGTCCCTGTTCTCATGGGTGGGGAAACAAGAATGACGCCGTCTCCTCGTACAAACAGCATGGGGATGTTCCTCTTTGTTGACTGGAATGTTAACACATCATTAGTAACTCTCATGAGAACAGATGTCTGCAGCCTTAGCCACCTGTTTGAAGCCAGAGTCTAATAAAATTGCTATTGGAAAAAGGAAAAAAGAAAGAAAAATTGCTTTCGGTCTCGTAAACATGGTAAAAACAGTAAACACTAGTCCATATACTGTGACAAAAACCTATTGACAAAAACGCAAGGATAAAAGTTCAGGATTGTAGACTTAAAAGTTTTTGGCACATGATAACTATCACAAAACTATAAGAGATGTTATTGGAAAGCAGACAAAAAAAACATCACTATATTATATGACTAACAGGCGTGTGGACCTATTCTGCATTAAATCCCAAGTTGGACCCAAGCTGTGGGTATTGTTTTGAGAATCATGGCACATATTGATACACATTTTTGCATATATAGTTTAGCATGTTATAGCGTGTATATGGATGAAAAAGAATGGTAAAGGTATATTTACATAAAGAGAATCTCGACCCAGTGTCTTTTGATAACAAATATATCAACATGAATTGATAAAAGTGGAAAAACTTCGAAGCTTGCCAAGGAGTTTTCCACTTTTATCAACAAGTGTTGATATATTTGATATCAAAAGACATGAGGGTGAGATTTTATTTATCATCCAACATCATTCTTCCAACTTTTTCAATTTGGAGACAGTAATGGACAATGGCATGCAAAACATTGTGATGCAATTTAATTGCAGCGATATCTACAATGTAGATCTAACCCAAGCGATATCTCAAATGGGAGCCAGTTTGGGATGACAAATAGCAGTCTGTGCCAAATATTTTTTAATCTACTAGCCCAAACTTCTCTCTTGGTATTATTTTCAGTAGATTTTAGTTTTATCATGTTTATTGTATCAACTTTTAATAGCTTAGCTTACAAATTTTTACAAGAATCAGGCTTTAAACTAGTGACATACAGGCTAATATAGAATGCACAGAAGTGTTTTCACAATTTGTAAGTTTAATTGACTCCGAAAATATTTTTCTCAGGTTTCTAATTGGCTCCTTCACCATGTGAACATGACAAGTGTCATTTATCTTTACAAACTTATGATCGAGCCCTGGAATCCCCATGGGTGTCTTTTCAATTTGTCAGTCCAAGATTTATTGATTTTCAACCAGTGTCTAAAGATGTCTCTGTTTTTTCGAAGTTTGAGGATTTTTTTGTTGGTGTAAAAAGGTTGTTTCAGTTAATCATATGTTAATCATGTTAATACCTTGTAGATTTCTTCATATGTTTCCTCATCAATCTCTACAGTTGTGACTGTTTCCTCAACTTCTCCCATGATCATATTCAAATGCTGATCATAAGCCTGAAAAGAAAAACAACATGTCATTCATCATTTAATTCAATCATAATGCAAGAATTATCAACTGAGTGTGGCATCCAGGCACATGGTTTCAAATACAAATTAATTTCAAATCGAAAACTTAAAATGGACTTGTAGCAAAAAACATCAGCAAAACCACTCAATTTGCCTTTATGTTTATATTGGAGAGGGGTGGCAATGCAACATGTTGTGAAGTAGCAGAAATTCGCACCATTCCTGTGTGTGACACCATTATAACCCTGCTACGTTAGTTTAAAGGGAACAAAGTATCAGTGTTTTGAGCTTTGATGCAAAGTTGCAAAGTGGATGTGTAGATTTCAGCAGCTAGCCTAACTAGAGTAAACACTGGTCTCCTATTGTGACAAGCATGGGATCATTCACTGGGACTTATTTCTTTGTCAGTAAGCGCAAGCTGTTTACTTTAGTTCAACAAATTCTTTTTAAATTAACTAAACCTCTGTAGTGAGTGTGATGCATTAGACTTTGTTAGACATATATCTTCAGAGAGATGTATATGTCACTTTCAAACAAAATGTCTTACATGCAATCTGCCTCGCAACTCTCTGTCATTTCTCATCTTCACATAAATACGTTCATCCAGGCTGAGTCGAATGAGATCCAGTGGTTCTTCCACTGTCTGCGCAGGTACTTGCTGAAATGTAAATAAAAAGCACTTAGAATATTCTACACTCATTAGTGTATCATGCCATACACCCGATACTGGCGGGCGCACAGTCGTGACAGCATATCATTGCATTCAAATTCGAACTCTGTGGATTCCTTTTGGACATAGCATACAGTGACAGTTGGCAATACAAGAAAACAAGGATTCACTGGGAACATGAGCCCGTATTGAAATGTGATAACTTAACGACTGACACTTATATATTTGTTTCAAAATACAACTTATTAACCGGTTAATTTCGAGAAAAGCACACCTGCTCTTGGTCGTCCGCCATTTTGGTAAATCAGCTTTCCGGTGTGCTGTTTCGTATGCTAAGGCAGTAAAATTTGAAAATGAATTCATTCTTTGATACGCAAAGTTTGTATAAATGTCTATTATGTCATGAAAGTTCTTGATTTTATAATATTCACGAAACCGATCAATGTATTTTCCTAATTTCGTAACATCCGAATCTATGGCTAGGATAGTAACTTTATCCGACAAACTCCTTACACTGAATTTTAGTCATCGCAACATTTTTCCGATTGAGAGGCACTGTCACTGCAATGTACTGAGTTTATCCGACCGCGAACTCGTGTTTTCGTAAGGTACAATTTTGAATGACTGAGATAAGTTATAGTTGTTGTGATGTTGGATTACAAACTTTAACTATTTTAAGTAATTAGTGACCACTGGTAGATTTTGCACGATGGCACGGCTTGCTCCGGGAAGCAGTCCCGTGGTTGAGAAGACATTCAGGAAACGTCATGGGAAGGTTGTCGCCAGAAAGGCCATCTCATCAGCTGTCTTTATTCTGGTGATCATCATGCTGCTCTTCATTGACATGTAAGTTTGACACTGGGAGTAGTGTTCTTTACTTTTTCGGATTTCAATTAGCGTCGCGTGGAGGCTCGAACTCACCTTCAGAGATTGAAGCTAAGGTTGGTTAATGAGAAAATCAAACTTGACAAAAATTGGACGGAGTTTATTCAAATTACATTGGATAATTCGTTAACAGAAATATCTAACCCAACCCCTACCTCACACTTAAGGATTGTGAAGGGGTGTTTGATCAAAGAGGTAACCTACCCTAACCCTAAAACAACTTACCCTAAGGATCGAAGAGGCACACAACATCGGTGAAGCGAGAGCCACAGTCTGCAGCTTGAGACTTTTCATGCTATACTAACCTACGCCAGATAAACTGCATCGTTACCACTGCCCTAAAATGTAGTTGAAATAAATACATCATAGTTTTCTTTCAACAGTAGTGAGTGAGTGAGTTGGGTTTAACATGTTTAACGCCACTTTTAACAGTATTACAGTTATATTGCGGCGTGTCATCTTAATGTGGGAGGAAAGCCTGAAGTGATGCAGGTCTCAGACGTTTACCACTTCGGTGAAACCCACGAGCACGGGTATGGGGCTGACAAACCTAGAAACATAATTGGGGCGAACCGGGATTCCAACCCTCAATCATAGGTTTCTGGCATGCCCAAGGGAAGCAACTCTGCACCACCCGTGCCCCCTCTTGCAACAGTAAACAGATCAAGTTCATAAACCATCCAGACATTGACCATCTTCCCGAGGCAAGTGAGTTAACTGACTATAAAAGTCCAGTTTCCACCCTTGCAGAACTAGGCTGGTATTATGGAGTTACATTTTGGCTGGACTAACGAGTCTATGCATAGTCCAATCAAAATCGCGCACCGAAATTGAAATCCGGTTCGTAGAGTGTCATGCAGATTTTGGTCGACTGCAGGATTTGCAAAGCATGTGCACCGCTTACTCGTTGTCAACACTTGAACAGATATTTTCTAAATCTTTTCATGTTTTTAATCAAGGTGCTCACGTGATTTGATGCACTTCGCGATGTGAGACTCGTTTTATCACAATATAGATCTTGATTATTGATCAGATCGTCTTGACTTGGCGCCACCGTTTTGTTTGAAACAAATGCAAGTGATACGAGAGGTTGAATCTGATTGGTCAATAGGAGAGGCATAGAAAGGACTTCACTCGTAATAGCCACTGATGGCGCTACGATCGTGCCCAGGAATTCCAGCCTAGTTCGGCAAGGATGGAAACTGGACTTTCAAAGTCAGTTAACTCTCTTGCCTCGGGAAGATGGACATTGACATAATCACTTGACAGGAATTTCAAAGATTCAGGTTTCTCACCATTGTCATTTGTGCACAGTGGATCAGATCATCATGATCATGGTCGTTGTGCAGTCAATAAAGAACCCATCCAAAAAATATTCAAAACAATATCAAATTAAATGCGTAGCTGCACACCAGGTGACCAGTTACTGCCAAGGACCAATAAATGGCCCCATTAGCCCATAATTGCGATTCTTTTCATGGAGATATATCCTCGCGTACTGTGTTTTTGAGCCCCTATGGAGTATTACTGATTACATGTCTAAGAACAGTCTTAATACAGTAAAATTAATTCTTTTGTTTGAGTACATTAAATTCTGTTAATACTTGGATGTCAAATGTTCATGTCTTGTTAATTTTATGGTGCTAATGCCTCACCAAGCGAAGTTGATCAGGCACCATCTTGTTACCATCACATGAATTCAAGCCCCTCTAATACAGTCAAGTTAAAAATAGATGCTCAACATGAAGAGTCACGTGACATTACTATACAGACAGGAAGTTTACAAACAGCAGTGCTCAGATACATCATTAGTGAATACGATTGTTCAGTTTCAAAATTATCATCAGGGGCTCGAAATGAAGTTTGGCTTGAAAACGTGATGTATGGGGTACTTATACTTTCTACAAAATACTTACCATATTTTCTTGAGTATAGCGCACACTTTTTTTCCAAAAAAACACAGCTGTGTAGAAGAAATACCGTTAGGTAATCTTATTCCCTGGATGTAAAACAAGGCCTAGCAGAACAAAAAATAAAATTTAAACGGTAAATCAACATGTCTAGTGATTTTTTATCTCAAATTTCAAATTTGTACTGACCAAGTTTCTCATCACCTGTTCGTTTACCAGAATTCGCTGAAGGGATACAGTGTAATTTTTTCTGTGCATAATATTCGATTTTTTTCCCCTCCAAAATACTGAGTCCGCTAGAGGGGGGTGCGCATTATACCATGTTATACTCGGGTGCACACTATACTCAAGAAAATACGGTATACAAAAATGAAAATGAACAATACACTGTCAAAATGAGGTTATTCAAAAAGAGCATGACAAAATGATCTAAGAACTTCTTAAGTATTATGGATTGTATCCAAGTGTCAGGTCTTCGGTTTTTTGACACCAAATAACTGGTTCGGTACATGCCCATCCCTCAAATGTTACATCATTTAATAAAGGTGAGCTTCTGCACCTATCTGGTTTAATTGATTGAATCACACATTTTGGGACTGACATTTATCCCGAGCATACTACTCCTTTAACATGTCTACTGACGGATTAATGTTGATGAGGCAGCCAAAGAAAAATGCCATTTTTACATGATGTGATAGTTTGTTAACTGAGATTCAACTGATGGATTAAAGCCATGTTACCACTGTTATTGACACTATGATATCTGATTAAATTTGTGTTTGAAGGTCCTACAGCACCATCAGCAGTTACTTTGGGCTGGCCCATCCTGCGATGTGGTATTTTGGTAAGTCTATTTTTCCATATCACGATATCCATTTACATTGTTGCTATGGGGCATTGTCAAGGTGTGCCTTTTGGACTCATAGGGTGCCAATTAGATGAATAATTTGATTGGTGAACCTGATGGGTGAAGCATTCTTTGGATTTCAGCATCTTTAACGACATGCATCCCTTCATCATAACAGCACAATCAACATGCAGAGTGAGTGAGTGTGTTTGGTTTTACGCCGCTTTAAGCAATATTCCAGCATTATCACAGCGGGGGACACCAGAAATGGGCTTCACACTTTGTACCCATGTCGGGATTCGAACCCGGGTCTTCGGCGTGACGAGCGAACGCTTTAACCACTAGGCTACCTGACCGCCCCATCAACATGCAGAAAAAACCAAGACATGTGTTTGGTTTACCAGCAAATCTGTGGAGGTACAGGAAGAACTGCTGAAGAATTGCTCTGAGAAATCTGAAGGCCTGCACAAGACACAGCAAGTTCACCAAACAAGCGACTTAACAAGAAAAGGGAAATCTTTGGAGATGTGAGAAGGAGAGAAAGGCAGATCAGCTTTCTGATGGGAAGAAACAACTAGCTGAATCAGTATACAAGCCACAGGACCCTGTCTGCATGCAAGGGGGACCACCTCCGTGGTCTAGTGGTAGAGCGTATGCCTGGAGAGCAAAAGGTCTGGGTTCAATTCCTGGCCATACTAAACATGCTAAAAGACCTAAAAAGATGGTACTTGTTGTTACCCTGTCTGACGCTCAGCATTAAGGGGCTAAAACAAGGACTGGTCAGCTCGGAGTCAGTATACTGTGTCTGAGTGGGGTTTTCATGTTAAACTGCTGCATGGTGTCTCAGTGAGCTGGCACTATAAATCGGCATCAGTCCGAACTAGTACAAAGTAGACACACTCAAACATGCATGCACGTCGCTATATTAGTACAATAATCTTGAACCCCATTTCACCTCATCTTACCTGCATGAGATGTTTTGACAACAAGCAGCGAAACTTTCTGAAAGAAGAAAATCCGTTTACAAGACTGTTATAGGTTCCAAGAACAAACATTTAAAACTTTGTGGCACTTTTAACGAACTAACCTTGGACTTTATGATGAAGAACTGTCACCAGAGACAACCCTGGATGCGGAATCTGAACGAATGAAGAAGCTGCTGCTGCTGCTGCTTAAGCCATCATAAATGATGCCCATGTTGGCAGGTTCATCTTTTTAAAGGAAGTTGGCCTTTACTGTAATACATGAATATTGTAAGGCATTGTGTGTGTGTAGATTGTAACAGTCCAGTTTCCACCCTTGCGCAATAAGTAGCCTGGAATTTCTGTGCTCGACCATAGCGCCACCAGTGGCAATTATGAGTTATGTCCCTTCTGTGTCGAATGGCAAAATGGCGCCCAAGACGATCTGATCGATAATCAAGATCTATGATGTAATATACCTTGCAAAATGCATCAATCACGTGAGCACCTTGATTAAAAACATGAATAGATTAGGAAAATATCTGTTGACAGTATACATGCTTTGAAAATCCTGCAATCGATCGAAATCTGCATGGCAGTTACGAACCGGATGTTGATTTCGTTACATTATTTTGATTGGACTATGCATAGACTTCAGCCAAGATATAACTCCATTATTCCAGCCTAGTTTGGCAAGGATGGAAACTGGACTTTTATAGTCAGTTAACTCCCTTGCCTGGGGAAGCTTTCCTTGCTAGTTTAAGAAAACAGTTTATGTTGTTAAAGTAAGTGGTTACAATTATGGCTGCCAGTACCTCGTGAATGTCATTTCAGTAGTAAGCAGTAGTAAATTTTGTAATGTTTCAGAGTGTGTGGGCATCATCTTCTGGCTGTTCCGACTGGTTCCAAGTATCGTGTATCTGGTGTCGTATACAAGGGATTATTTCTTTGGAGAAGTAGTTGAGCTAACTGAAGAGCAAGCTAGACTACTCCGAGTTCAAAAGAATGGTACTGTATTCCACATTTGCCATAATCAGGATATTTGTTACTTACCCTGCATTACTACGTCGCGACCCATGAAGATCCGGGGTAGAATAGGTCTTCAGCAACCCATGCTTGCCGTAAAAGGCGACTATGCTTGTCGTAAAAGGCGACTAACGGGATCAGATGGTCAGGCTCCCTGACTTGATTGATGCATGTCATTGGTCCCAATTGCGCGGATAGATGCGCATGATGTCAATCACTGGATTGTCTGGTCCAGACTCGATTATTTACAGACAGCCGTCATATAGCTGGAATATTGCTGAGTGCGGCTTTAAACAACAAACCAACCAACCAATCTAAGGATGCATTAAGGAGTAATGCAGGATAAGTATACAAACGTAAAAATTATTTAGATTTTTCTAAAATCCTAAAAGCTCTGAGGTAATAAGATACATCATTACATGTATTTTATATGCATATTTGAGAAATAACATTAACATGTTCGAAGAAAAAACTAGTTATTAAACACGTTTTTGTTTTAATTTATTATTTTATGTATTAAATATAGTTGACAATAATGAGCTGTTTGGTAAATTGAGACTTACAAAAAGACCAGCTAATCATTGAATATTTAGAAGCTGGTACCAAAGTCATCAAAATGTCATCTTGTCAATTTTCAGAGCGAGGTTTCAAGGTGTCACCGCGGAAACCTGTAGGTGACCAATCGGCACAGAATAGTTTCATCTTCTCGGCAAGCACTCCTGTGACACAAACAAGTTTTGCCAGTGATGGATCCCGCCATAGTCCATCCTCCTACCTGTCTCAGTCTCCGTACGGGGGGTCGTTCATGTTCTCACAGCACAGCCCCACAGCCTATCAGTCGGTGTCCTCATCAACGCTCTCTCCATCACACTCACAGTCATTTGATAGGGTAGGTTACAAATTTCGTATGTTTATTTTCCAAACCAAACAACTGACATTGGGCTGGGTCATAATTCCTGCGTATTTGATGCAAACATTTTACTCAATTTCTGATTGATTAGTAACAATATTTTTATAAAAATATTCACCGCTACTCCGCTACTTGTTTAAAATAAAACAAATCTACTTTCAGTATTAAATGAGACTGAAATAACTTTCATAAATGTCCATTTATAGATTGCTGTCACATTGCTTATCTTGTATGACTACATATCGGCCAATCAGCTGCGAGTATTTCTGACTAGCGTTACTACAGTCACAATGTATTTGTGAGCAACAAACATGGCCGCCATGCCTTTCAAAAACTGGGGTCTCGATTCTTTTTAGATCATGGCTCCCAAATTTAGAAAATGACCCGACCCATCCCCCAAAAATATGTGGTGAGTCATCATGACTCCCATATTTACAAGGCCATGTAAAACCCTGATTGGCTCTTCATGCTGAAAAGTACTTCTTTTTTCCGTCTTTTTATGTACAGTTGTGCTGTGTTATCAGTGCTTCAGATTGCCAGGGGTCTTGGACATAGAAAATAAGAAGAATATTTCAACATTTCTGAGCACAATAGTTCTCTTTCTCCTATATTTCTGGCCAAGTGGTGATTGCAGGTTCAAATTGGTCCCCAACAACCTATTCTTCATGTAATAGGCGAATAAATGGAGTGGGTGGCCCAACTAAGTGACTTGGCTGATTGCATGTCATTTTACTATGGCAGTATGAATTGTTCACAATATCGGTCACTCGATTGTCTGGTCTATACTTTATTATTTACAGGCTGCCATCATACTGCTTGAGTATTGCTGACCACACTATATTTCTGATACTTGGCCCATCAAATATTTACAGTATTCACATCAGCCTGAAACTCTGCAGTAATAAGTTTGTCTTGGTATTATCTGTCTCATTAATAAAACAAATGGAAAAGAAGTTCATTGTTTTATTTTTAGTGAGGTGAGGTGAAATGGGGTTTAACGTCGTGTTCAAGATTATTGCACTTATATGGCGGTGTGGGTGTTTGGGTGGGGAGGGGGACTAATACCAGATTTTGTAGTGCTGGCCCACCTTTTAACTTTTGGTATGACGTGGCCTGGGATCAGACCCCAGGCCTTTCGCTCTCCATGCAGATGCTCTACCACTAGACCATGGAGGCGGTCTGTACTAATTTTAGTAACTAGATGACCGATGACATTAACGATCTGCTTTTCGTTTAAGAGTGCGAACCTGAGTTCTGCCAACAATTCTTCCACCCGGTTTGATGTTAGTGACCATAGTGGTCTGAGGTCCAGACACAACGCCACCTACACAAAACTATCACCAGGTTAGTCTTAGCAAACCATCATCTTTGAATTCAAACCTCAATACTGTAACTGTCTGTGGCCATTCGAGATTAAGATTAAGCGGAAACGTGGAAAATCAGGTCTGCATGGCAGAAACCTATGATTGTGGGTTTGAATCCCGGTTCACCCCAATTATGTTTCTAGGTGTAGATCCCCAGGGCAGGGTAGATTCCCAGTACCCCATGCTTGTCTCTCTGTGGGGATTCCAGGGCAGGGTAGATCCCCAGTACCCCATGCTTGTCTCTCTGTGGGGATTCCAGAGCAGGGTAGATCCCCAGTACCCCATGCTTGTCTCTCTGTGGGGATTCCAGGGCAGAGTACATCCCCAGTACCCCATGCTTGTCTCTCTGTGGGGATTCCAGGGCAGAGTACATCCCCAGTACCCCATGCTTGTCTCCCTGTGGGGATTCCAGGGCAGAGTAGATCCCCTGTACCCCATGCTTGTCTCCCTGTGGGGATTCTGGGGCAGAGTGCCCCTCTGACTTCGTTGATGCATGTCATCGTATCTCAATTGCATGGATTGATGCTCATGATGTCAATCACTGGATTGTCTGGTCCAGACTAAGTTATGTACAGACTGCCGTCATATAGCTGGAATATTGCTGAGTGCGGCTTTAAACAACAAACAAACATTATATCAAAACATTTAACATCAACAATACAAGAAATTTCAGACACAGTGATAACCAACTCATGTGTTCCAACATGGAAGTATTCCAGCATATGGATATTTTAACACTTGACACTGGTACAATGTGTGAAGCCAATTTCTGGTGTCCCCCGCCGTGATATTGCTGAAATACCTCACTCACTCACTCACTCACTCACTCACTCACTCACTCACTCACTCACTCACTCACTCACTCACTCACTCACTCACTCACTCACTCACTGCATTATGTCCTGTTTCACATGGACTCACTGCAAATGTTAAACTCTTTAAACACGCTTATAACTGATTCTAAATGATATTAAGGTAGGATTACGAATACCAGTTTCACACATTTGAACTGGTTATGAATTTTAATAAAATCATAACCGGTTCACCAAGTAAGCTTGACAGGCCTGACTGTAATGTCATTGTGTGTCTATTCAGCTTCTACTTACGACACCATCTCTGACATGTCCACCTTGGCTCGCTATCTGAAAGAACAGGAGGAGAAGGAAAGAAGAGGTTTGCAAGGTATGCTGGACAGACTGGATACCATCTGTCTGATGACTAGTTTAACAAATGTTATATTTGGGAAAACACTTTCTCCTCGGTGGCTGAGTGGGTTAGATCGCTGACTTTGTGTGCTGGCGATTAGGTGCCTCACTCTGGCAGTGTGGGTTCGAATCCCAGATAGGGGGCAAGGGTGGCCCAGTCATCTAAGGCGCCGCCATTCGCTGTGCAGAATCGCGCCCCTTGGGCACGGCAGAAACCTATGATTGTGGGTTTGAATCCCGGTTCACCCCAATTATGTTTCTAGGTGTGTCAGCACCATACCTGTGCTCGTGGGTTTCACCGAAGTAGTAAACGTCTGACACCTGCATCCCTTCGGGCTTTCCTCCTACATTAAGCTGACACACCGCGATATAACTGGAATAATGTTAAAAGCGGCGTTAAACCCAACCCAACTCACTCACTCGAATCCCAGATGGAACTCAACCCCCAAAAGTATGAGAATGTGTACTTTACTAAGAAAGTGTTTTCCAAAATATAACATTTGTTTCATTTGACCGCTTTCTAAATAGCACTGTGTTCATAATTACTAGTTATTTATGTTGGTGGTAGTATTGAAGTCTGATTATGAGCAGAAGATCAATTATTGTAATGGAAATTATAGGAAATCTCATTAAATACACCAGATTTTGAATTCAGTTACCAGATAACAGACTGAAAATACATGATATAAAAGGTTGTTGACTGAATAAATTTCTTTTATGGAAAGCTTCCCCTGATACCAGTAGTCAAGGAGCCTCATTCTGGAGTTTTGGATCCAGTCCAATGGATCATGTCAACGTACTGAGAAAATACCAGTATCAGGTCGCCACACGGTCGCCCCAGTCACCGACAGCTAAAGCCAGCAGCAGCGATCAGTCCGTGTCATCAGGGCTGGAAGAGGCAAGTACATAGGCAGGGGTAGATCAGAAGGAGAGAGCAGCACTGGTCGTCCTAAAGTACTCATGGAAATGAAAAAAAACTGTTTTGCTGGATTTAATAATCGACACAAAGCATTACGTAGATGTAAATACGAAATAACAAAACAACTGGAAAAGTACTAGTCTGGATTTGCTAGTTTTATCTCAGTGCTCAATACAAAATGTACTTTACAGGAGGTAATTTGGAGGCACTTTCAACATTCAAAAATAAAACCAAGTCCAAATTGACATGTCAGAAAAAGGCTACAAATACAAATTATACAAATTAGCCTGGAAAAAAGTTATCAAAACAACAATTAAAATAACAGCTATGTTTATGTACATAATAATAATGACATGTAAGTTGTTGTTTGAGAAGGGAATATGTTACTTTTACGTTCTGATATTTTGACGATGATTCACTATCCCACAATGCCACTCATAAATCACTAACCACTGACAAATCACATGCACGTGGGTTTCAAGCACCTGTTTTCACCTGTCGTCAAGGTGTCATAGGTCATGGACATTCACCTTGATCTACTAACACCTGGTTATGCTCAGTTTCACAATAGTCTGTTTTGTTCATATTTTTACACACTTTGATACGCTGTATTTGTGCCAAGGCCCAATTAGTACTAATTGAGTTGTTTGAATATTTATATATTTTGTATATTAACTGCATTTATTTTAAATCTGAGATCGAAAAAACAGGGTGTTTTTCATTTCCGTGAGTACTTTAGAGCTTTCACTGTAATGCAAGAAAAATATCACCTGTAACCGTTGGTATTAAATACAAACAAAAGTGATGATCATTAGGCTGACCACTTGATCATGTTGATATTCTGTTTCCGAAAATGTCCTTATTGTGATAGTGTTCCTTATTGTGATAGTGTTCCTTATTGTGATAGTGTTCCTTATTGTGATAGTGTTCCTGATTGTGATAGTGTTCCTTATTGTGATAGGGTTCCTTATTGTGATAGTGTTCCTGATTGTGATAGTGTTCCTTATTGTGATAGTGTTCCTTATTGTGATAGTGTTCCTGATTGTGACAGTGTTCCTGATTGTGATAGTGTTCCTTATTGTGATAGTGTTCCTTATTGTGATAGGGTTCCTTATTGTGATAGTGTTCCTGATTGTGATAGTGTTCCTGATTGTGATAGTGTTCCTGATTGTGATAGTGTTCCTTATTGTGACAGTGTTCCTGATTGTGATAGTGTTCCTGATTGTGATAGTGTTCCTGATTGTGATAGTGTTCCTGATTGTAAAAGTGTTCCTGATTGTGCTGTTATGTTTCCAGGTGTGGAGTAGCTTTGGAGTAACTGAGGACAACTTGTACCTGTGGACAGAGAGACTCCGAAAAGTGAGCTATTCATTCTCCAGTCTCTAATTCATGTTAAACTTCATGTCCTCGTTCCGCTAGACAATCTGTCTCAACCAACAGTGTCAAGCATGATTTGTATTGACATGCAAATGCCCTCAGTAACAGCAAAATGTCCAACTTGTTGACGAAAGAACGAAAACTATGAAGGTGACTGATTAAATCAAAAGGACGTACTGTATTCGACGTAATAAGCGCCCCACTCTAATTAGTGCCCACAGCGATATTTGCTAATATATATGCTAGTAAACAATCCCAATTAGCACCCCTTCCCATTGATCAATGTACAAAAGACTTATTTATTCGCGTATAATACACACTCGTGTGTTATATGCACCCTTAATTATGGGCAATTTAATTCTGGAAAACTATATCTGTCGCATATAAACATTTCAGGCTGTCAGCATAAACCATGAAGTTTATCTTTCAACACTGTTTTTTTCCACCCAAATAATATTCTAATAAGAGCCCCCTATTTCTAATTTTGAGGGCGCCCTGGGTGCTTATTGTGTCAAATACGGTAATTCATTTTTACAGAAAGTCATGTAGTCATCTGCTGTAGGCTCAAGGCTGCTCAGCATGTGCAACAATATGACAAATCAAAAGAAGCTTGACACATTTTGCTAGCCTTGGGTGCCAATGTTCATGTTTTGGACTCCCAAGAAATTATGACTGAGCTTGAGAGTTCCCTGGCCTGGAAAATAGATAGACCAGGTTATGTAATTCTCCCCTGCAGTGCTGATGATGTCATCTTGTTTCAGTGGCTGAGTCTTACCTTGATCATCAAGCTGGCCAATGAACTTGAGAGAGTCAACAATACGCTGAGGTGCATCGGCTGTGAGGAGCTGCAGGCAGGAGGTAGTGGACGTTATAACATGGGTGTGGGGCATACAGATACAGATGTTATAACATGGGTGTGGGGCATACAGATACAGATGTTATAACATGGGTGTGGGGCATACAGATACAGATGTTATAACATGGGTGTGGGGCATACAGATACAGATGTTATAACATGAGTGGGGGGCAAACATGTAATAACACGGGTGGGGCATACAGATACAGATGTTATAACATGAGTGTGGGGCATACAGATAGAGATGTTATAACATGAGTGTGGGGCATACAGATACAGATATTATAACATGAGTGTGGGGCATACAGATACAGATGTTATAACATGAGTGGGGGGCAAACGTAATAACACGGGTGGGGCATACAGATACAGATGTTACAACTTGAGTAGGGGCATGAAGATACAATTGTTATAACATGAGTGGCATACAGATACAGATGTTATAACATGGGTGTGGGGCATACAGATACAGATGTTATAACATGAGTGTGGGGCATACAGATACAGATGTTATAACATGAGTGGGGGGCAAACGTAATAACACGGGTGGGGCATTCAGATACAGATGTTACAACGTGAGTAGGGGCATGAAGATACAATTGTTATAACATGAGTAGCATACAGATACAGATGTTATAACATGGGTGTGGGGCATACATATACAGATGTTATAACATGAATGGGGGCATACAGATACAGATGTTATATCATAATCATGTCAGAGTTTGACATACTGATGTTATAACATGAGTGGGGCATACAGATACAGATGTTATATCATAATCATGAGTGTGACATACTGATGTTATAACATGAGTGGGGGGGGCAAGGATGGCCCAGTCGTCTTAGGCGCCGCGATTCGCTGTGCAGAGTTGCCTCCCTTGGGCATGCCAGAAACCTGTGATTGTGGGTTCGATTCCTGGTTCGCCCCAATTATGTTTCTAGGTTTGTCAGCACCATACCCATGCTTGTGGGTTTCACCGAAGTGGTAAACGACTGAGATCTGCATCTCTTCGGGCTTTCCTCCCACATTAAGCTGACACGCCACGATATAACTGGAATACTGTTAAAAGTGGCGTTAAACCCAACTCATGCAATCACTTATAACATGAGTGGGTCATACAGATTCCGATGTTATAACATGAGTGAGGCATTCAGAAAAGTTGTTATAAAATGAGTGGGTAGTGGCAGCAGATCAAACTGTCATGTGGACTGAATGTGATGACACAAGGCCCTCAACTATTATCATGACCGACAGAATCGGCACTGTCAACACACTGAAACACGGTATTCCAGTACAGAATAGGGACCAAGTACCCCAATTGTTGTACTGAGGGGCATGAATGAGGATTTGGTGACAATACTGTGTCATCTTCTTTCTGTGTGTCAACATACTGATCATGTTCACTCACAGACTGCCATACCCGTGCTCGTGGGTTTCACCGAAGTGGAAAACGTCTGCATCACTTCGGGCTTTCCTCCCACATTAAGCTGACACGCCGTGATATGACTGGAATACTGTTAAAAACGTCGTTAAACCCAACTCACTCACTCACTCACTCACAGACTGCCCCCTGTCCTGATTCCGGGTCAGACTAAGTCCCTCAACCTGTACTGGTTGTATGGGGCAATTTGTTAGATCAGGTGGACTGGCTTGATGACTTGGTTGATAACTTGTCAAAATACCTGACAGTGAAGATCATTGTTCATAGTGTGACCGTTTTGTCTGGAATGCTTGGAATATTTCTGGCCGTAAGAGGTGAACAAATGGATCGGGTGGTCAGGCTCGGTGACTTGGTTGATTACTTGTCAAAATACCTGACATTGAAGATCATTGTTCATAGTGTGACCGTTTTGTCTGGAATGCTTGGAATATTTCTGGCCGTAAGAGGTGAACAAATGGATCGGGTGGTCAGGCTTGGAAACTTGGTTGGTTGAATGCCAGCAATCCCCAATGACGTGGATCGTTGCTCACAGTATCGATCACTGAGTTGTCTGGTCCCAGGCTCAATTATTTACAGGCTATTATTTACAGACTATCTTCTATGGCTGGAATGATGTAAAAACGAGAAACGAATACCGACTGCAATGAAGAAGTGTTGATTGCTGCCTTGTATAAGAAAGGGTTCGAAATTATGTTGGGGGGGGGGGGGGGGGGGGGGGGTTTGGGTTGGGTTGGGTAGGGTAGCAGAGTGGTTAAAGTGTTCGCTTGTCCCGCGGAAAACCCGTGTTCCTTTCCCGACATGGGACCAATGTGTGAAGCCAATTTCTGTTGTCCCCCGCCATGATATTGCTGGAATATTCCTTAAAAAGCAGCATAAATCCACACTCACTCGCTGACTCTCTCACTCACTCACTCACTCACTCTGAACTCTGAACTCTGAACTCTGAACTGCCAATGTATTTCTCATTGCTAAATTTCAATATTCTGATGAAATTTCCTTGCTCTCAGATATTGCTCCTTCAAACCAGTCCAGATCTTAATATAATGTTGTAGGTCTATTGTCTTTTGCTTTCTTCCATTTCACGCTCCCTGTAATGTGATGTAATAATGCTGACATGTGTATAAAACAACATTCACTCACTCACCTCATCTCTCCCACAGATGTGAGTGTGTCTACGTTAAAACAGCTGGCTTTGACGAAAGGAAATTTTGTACCATCTTTAAACACCATCATACCATATCTGGATGTGTCGTCAAACCAGGAGTATGTCGTCAAACGTATACGAGGTATGAAATACTGTGTCAACTACCCCGTGTCACGATTCCCGATTAGAATTGGTCCCAAGCATCCTACGCTTGTTGTATGAGACAACTTAATGGATTGGGTGGTCAGGCTCGGTGGATTGGGTGTCAACATACCCTGATGGCGTTGATCGTTGCTCATTATATCAGTCACTGACTTGTCTGGTCCTGACTTGATCATTAACAAACAGCCATCATATAGCCGGCAATAGAGCTAAAGAAAAAGAAAACCCAACTTTGGCAAAATTAATTATCTCACGATGTCGTAAGAGGCGACCAAATAGATCGGGTGGTCAGGATCTGCGACTTTGTTGATTGCGTGTGATCATACCCCAACATTGTAACCATAGCGATCACTGGATTGTCTGGTCCAGAGGCTGCTGTCATATCCGGCCTAGTGCTGAGTGTGGCAGACCTACACCTCTCTGCAGTGTCTGAAATGACTGCCTGCCCGTGGATGGTAACTTTCCCTCCACCTGCCCGACTCTCAGGCAGATAATTGGCTCGTCACGCCGAAGACCCCGGTTCGATTCCCGACATGGGTACAATGTGTGAAGCCCATTTCTGGTGTCCCCTGCCGTGATATTGCTGGAATATTGCTAAAAGCGGCGTAAAACCATACTCACTCACTCACTCACTCAGGCAGATAATATTAAGACTGCTTTAATATGTATTCAGTTTGATTATATCTCCTTCTAGAATCTAAAGTAAATGTGAGCATTATTTCAGCTGAATCAAGACATGATTTGTGTCTTAGTGTTTACCAGTATGTGGGCAAGTAAGTTTGAAGATGGGAAGGCAACACTTATGGGTCACCTGCCTCACTCTTTTTTTTGCGTTTTGAAATTATTTCGAACACTGCCTCTATGTTACTGTATGTAATTGATGATTAGTTGCTGATTAAGTGTAATGATTAATGACTTTCTTGATTAATTTTGTACTTACAATATCGATCACTGGTTTGTCTGGCTTGACTTGATTATTGACAGGCCGTCCTCATATGCTTCAATATTGCTGAGTGTGCCAATAAACAACAAAGAAACAAACAATATGTCACTTGTTTGTGCGATGTTTGGATCATGCAATTCTCTTTTCTACAAATATAGTATTTCATATTCAGGTGCCAAGAACATCTGGTATCAAATTACCGTATTTCCTCTATTAGATGCAAGGCCGTCTATTAATTTTGCGAGAAATGTGACTCGCCGTGTATTAGAGACCTGGCTTGTATTAGAGACCCAGCATGTAATAGGGCAAATATCAATGCGTTTTACAGTTCCTGTTGGTGATCGATTGGCAGCCATTTTTTATGAATCGATATGCAGACTATCTATGTATTCATAGGCATGTTTTTTGTGTTAAAACAGGTTTTTGTAGCAAAAAGGAAACCTCTTTTTAACCAATTAGAATCAAGCATTCTTCAGTGTCATGGTAGAATCTTCAAATATTGTATTTCATTGCAGACCTGGCTACAGGCGCCATGTCCGCCTTTGCATGGAACAGTGGAGGTAGTTACGGCAAGCCGTGGGGGGAGCATCTCCCCACAGACTCCGTGGTAAGGGGAATGCACTTAATAGGCTTTAAAAAATAAAAGAATTGTTTCTCAGGCAATGGTTTTTGAAAATATAGTGCGGGCGGGCGGTGTCTTTTTCTTGTTTTGGTTGTTCAAACTGGTATGTAACCAATAAACAACTGTGTACAATCAACCTGGGAAAAGTCCTCCCTACATAAATCTATTTCTTGATGAGTTAAATACTGGAATACAGTATTTGACTACCGTTGGACTTGGAATATAAACAGTTGGATTAGATTTTTTAATTTTTTTTTTTTAAAATGGAAATAAAAACGGAAATAAAAACGAAACGTGCGGCAAACTTTATGATGATGTGGGCGGTGCCTGAGAACCAAGACTATTATTTTTTTTAGCCATAGCCTTTCAGTATTGGTCTGTGTTAGCATGTTTTGAAGTACAATTTACTGCTAGGTAACCGCACTGTTTTCTTCCTGTGAGGTTTCATGTGCAGAATACTCCCCAGTTACCATGGTTACCTATGCTTGTTGTAAGAGGTGTCTAATGAATATTGGGCAGTTAGAGTGTTTTACCTGGTTGATTGTATGTCTCAGTTCCCAAGTACCATGACTGGTTGCTCATGCTTTCAACCACAGGTTTGTCTGTATCTGATTGGATATGACTGTCTTCGTGGTCTAATGGTAGGGCGTCTGCCAAGAGAACGGAAGGTCCGTGGATTGATCCCCGGCCGCATCATACCAAAAGATGTGAAAAGATGGTACTTGTTGTTACCTCTCTGGCGCTCAGCATTGAGGGGCTAAAACAAGGACTGGTCGACTTGGAGTCAGTAAACTGTGTTTGAGTGGGGTATTCATGTTAAACTGCAGCATGTTATCTCTGTACAAGCAGCCACACAAACACATGCATTCACGTTGCTATATAAGTGCAATATCTTGGACGTGACGTGAAACCTCATTTCACCTCACCTGATTTGATATTTTACTGTCTACCATGATCATGATGATAGGGATGTGATGTTGCTGACATTGGCTTTGAATACAGTAAACCCATGGGGATTCCGGGATGGAATAGGTCCCTAACACCTGATGCTGGTTGTAAAAGGCAACCAAATCAATCTAGTGGTCTGGCTTGGTGACATGGCTGTGTGTCTGCGTACCCCAAGGTTGTGTGTTCTGTGTTGCAGCTGTTGATGCACCTACTGTGCACCTACCTGGACTCTCTGTTGCCCACACAGCCCAGGTACCCAGATGGCAAGACGTTCACCTCCCAGCACTTTGTGAAGACCCCTGATCAACCTGGTGAGTTTCATCATGGCTGGCAGTAGAGAATTGATGGTTGCTAGGCGTGGCAGTAGAGAATTGATGGTTGCTGGGTGTGGTAGTAGAGAATTGATGGTTGCTAGGCGTGGCAGTAGAGAATTGATGGTTGCTAGGTGTGGCAGTAGACAATTGATGGTTGCTGGGTGTGGCAGTAGAGAATTTATGGTTGCTGAGTGTGGCAGTAGACAATTGCTGGTTGCTGGGTGTGGCAGTAGAGAATTGCTGGTTGCTGGGTGTGGCAGTAGAGAATTGCTGGTTGCTGAGTGTGGCAGTAGAGAATTGATGGTTGCTGGGTGTGGCAGTAGACAATTGCTGGTTGCTGGGTGTGGCAGTAGAGAATTTATGGTTGCTGAGTGTGGCAGTAGAGAATTGATGGTTGCTGGGTGTGGCAGTAGAGAATTGATGGTTGCTGGGTGTGCCAGTAGAGAATTGATGGTTGCTGGGTGTGCCAGTAGAGAATTGATGGTTGCTGGGTGTGGCAGTAGAGAATTGATGGTTGCTAGGCATGGCAGTAGAGAATTGATGGTTGCTGGGTGTGGCAGTAGAGAATTGATGGTTGCTGGGTGTGGCAGTAGAGAATTGATGGTTGCTGGGCATGGCAGTAGAGAATTGATGGTTGCTAGGTGTGGCAGTAGACAATTGATGGTTGCTGGGTGTGGCAGCAGAGAATTTATGGTTGCTGAGTGTGGCAGTAGAGAATTGATGGTTGCTGGGTGTGGCAGTAGAGAATTGATGGTTGCTGGGTGTGGCAGTAGAGAATTGATGGTTGCTAGGTGTGCCAGTAGAGAATTGATGGTTGCTAGGTGTGCCAGTAGAGAATTGCTGGTTGCTAGGTGTGCCAGTAGAGAATTGCTGGTTGCTGGTTGTGGCAGTAGAGAATTGATGATTGCTAGGTGTGGCAGTAGAGAATTGATAGTTGCTGGGTGTGGCAGTAGAAAATTGATGGTTGCTGGGTGTGGCAGTAGAGAATTGATGGTTGCTGGGTGTGCCAGTAGAGAATTGATGGTTGCTGGGAGTGGCAGTAGAGAATTGATGGTTGCTGGGTGTGGTAGTAGAGAATTGATGGTTGCTAGGTGTGCCAGTAAAGAATTGATGGTTGCTGGGTGTGCCAGTAGAGAATTGCTGGTTGCTGAGTGTGCCAGTAGAGAATTGCTGGTTGCCGGGTGTGGCAGTAGAGAATTGATGGTTGCTGGGTGTACCAGTAGAGAATTGATGGTTGCTGGGTGTGCCAGTAGAGAATTGATGGTTGCTGGGTGTGCCAGTAGAGAATTGATGGTTGCTGGGTGTGGCAGTAGAGAATTGATGGTTGCTGGGTGTGGCAGTAGAGAATTGATGGTTGCTGGGTGTGGCAGTAGAGAATTGATGGTTGCTGGGTGTGGCAGTAGAGAATTGATGGTTGCTGGGTGTGGCAGTAGAGAATTGATGGTTGCTGGGTGTGGTAGTAGAGAATTGATGGTTGCTGGGTGTGGCAGTAGAGAATTCAGCGTTAGAAATTGGCACTAGTCCTGTAGTCCTTACCAAACTGCCCAATAGTAAAGGTATCCTAAGGACTTGTAGAAATTGGCTCATTTTAAGGGTTTTGCTATATGTTATCATTATGAGGACTAGTGGACAAAAACTGTTTGTTTCTAACCCTGGAATTGTGGTTGCTGTGTGTGGCAGTAAGGAATTGATGGTTGCTGTGTGTGGCAGTAAGGAATTGATGGTTGCTACGTGTGGCAGTAAGGAATTGATGGTTGCTAAGTGTTACCATAGGGAATTGATGGTTGCTAAGTGTTACCATAGGGAATTGATGGTTGCAAAGTGTTGCCATAGGGAATTGATGGTTGCTAGGTGGTTCAATCCCAGGACTCATCTTTCCACAAGACTTTACCTGTTACTCTGCCTGGTGCTCATCATTAACTGCATAAAGCAAGGACTGGCTCAGAGTCGGTATACAGTGTTTGAGTGAGGTATCCTAGTTAAACTGCTGACAAGACCATCATTAGTCCACAAGAGTATAAGCAGACACACAGATGCCCACACAGTCACACAAGTAAAGAGATGACAGTGATGTATTTGACTGTATTGATGATGAGGTTGCTTCTTGTCCATCAGACCAGGGGAAGAAGGATGCAATGTACATGTACCAGGTGTCCATCAACCCTCCCCACTTCCAGGTGATCATCGGAGATGAGACCTTCAACCTACCCAAGGTATGTCCAGTCAGTATACTAGGAGGCAGCTGGCATCAATAGTTTCTGACCAGCGTAGGAAATTCCTCCAAATCTTCAACCAGACCACAGGGGAGGCAACTCCTCAAACTTGCCTTGTCAAAAAGTTACCTGTCCAAGGTCGTCATTCAACATGGAGCCAAAGGGATATTAATTAGAATCAAAAGAACAACAGAATTTATTAATTAGGTCACACATATTTTTTTTTCAATAATTATATTCTATGGTCATAACATACATGCCTAGATAAAATCCTGCCTGTCTGCTGGGCAGGTGAACTGGAAGATAAGAATTGCCTGCCCCAAGAGGTCAAGCAGGCAGAAATTTCAGACACAGTGATAACCAATCCATGTGTTCCATCATGGAAGTATTCCAGCATATAGTGTTTAAAAGTATGCCAGCATATACATATACCATCGTATAAGACATTGAAATTATGTTGCGCGGTCGGGTAGCCTAGAAGTTAAAGCGTTCACTCATCACGCCGAAGACCTGTGTTCGATTCCAGACATGGGTACAATGTGTGAAGCCCATTTCTGGTGTCCCCCACCGTGATATTGCTGGAATATTTCTAAAAGCGGCATAAAACCATACTCACTCACTCGAAATTAAGTTGGGGCCTAAGAGCCCTTGAGGTCTTCTGTGGTATTTGAATCCAGGGACCACTATATCTTGTAGTTTGATGCTTTAGCCAGAGTAGCTTAAAACATAATTCCTTATTTAAACTGAAATAAAACATGAGCCTGTATGAGATGTTCTTGTTTGTTCCAGGGCAGGAACAATATGTTCCAGGCTATTCTGCTGTTCTTTTTCTACATCAAGATGAAGCGTGGTGGTATGCTGGGGTGAGTGTCTGGGACACAGTTGCCTGGAAACTGAATAGATGTGTGGGTTGAATAATGGTCCATATGAAACATGTTGCTGTGTCACGTCTGGTCCGGTCGTCTATGATGTCACAAAGTTGCATGCCTTAGCTGCCAAGATCGGCTAATCATGGGTTCAAATCTCCAAGATGATCCTTGTTATTGGCAGCATACCATTGTTCGTGAGTTTCACCAATGTAGTCGGGCGCAGATAGCCCAGTCGTCTAAGACGCCACAATTTGCAGTGCAGAGTTGCGTATCTTGGGCATGCCAGAAACCTATGGTCGTGGGTTTAAATCACGGTTCGCCCTGAGATCTGCATCACTTTAGGCTTTCCTCCCAACTCTGGCTGTGGCATTAGAGGAATGATGTTAAAAGTGGCGTTACACTCAACTCACTCACCAAAGTGGTAAACACCCGTGACCTGCATCACTTTAGGCTTTCCTCCCAACTCTAGCTGTGAGATTAGAGGAATGCTGTTAAAAGTGGCGTTACACTCAACTCACTCACCAAAGTGGTAAACACCCGTGACCTGCATCACTTTAGGCTTTCCTCCCAACTCTAGCTGTGAGATTAGAGGAATGCTGTTAAAAGCGGCGTTACACTCAACTCACTCACCAAAGTGGTAAACACCCGTGACCTGCATCACTTTAGGCTTTCCTCCCAACTCTAGCTGTGAGATTAGAGGAATGCTGTTAAAAGTGGCGTTACACTCAACTCACTCACCAAAGTGGTAAACACCCGTGACCTGCATCACTTCAGGCTTTACTCCCACACAGTGTTTGAAATAAATGCCTGCCCCTAGCAATTGACCTTCTGTCGGGCCTGTTGTTGCAAATTTGTATGGCTCTTATACCCTGCAGTAAATCTTTCTGTCAAAATTTTTGTGTCGATTTATTTGTAAAAAGAAGCTGCAGTTTTTTGTATGAGGGCCCGAAGTGTTTAGTCAGGGCCTGCTGCTTCTAAAGTCTGTTGGTTCTGATGGCAGTCTGGCAATTGCTTTCATTTCAAACATGCTCCCACTTCAAGCTTACACGCTGTTATGTGACTGAAATTTGTAAAAGGTAAGAGGCGACTAACGGGATCAGGTGGTCAGGCTCGCTGACTTTGTTGATGCATGGCATCGTGTCCTAATTGCGTGGATTAATGCTCATGTTGTCAATCACTGGGTTGTCTGGTCCAGACTCGAGTATTTACAGATCACAGTCATATAGCTTGAATATTGCTAAGTGTGGCGTTAAACAACAAATAAACAAACAAACAAAATATGATTGAAAAACTTTACAAAGCTGATATTTAACCTCCCTCACTGACATTCAATTTTGGCTGTACCGTATTCGACGTAATAAGCGCCCAGGGCGATCTCAAAATTAGAAATAGGGGGCTCTTATTAGAATATTACTTTTGATTTGTCATATTGTTGCACATGCTGAGCAGCCTTGAGCCTACAGCAGATGACTACATGACTTTCTGTGAAAATGAATTACCGTATTTGACACAATAAGCACCCAGGGTGCTCTCAAAATTAGAAATAGGGGGCTCTTATTAGAATATTATTTGGGTGGAAAAAAACAGTGTTGAAAGATAAACTTCGTGGTTTATGGCGACAGCCTGAAATGTTTATGTACGACAGATATATTTTTTCAGAATTTAATTGCCCATAATTAAGGGTGCATATAACAAACGAGTGTGTATTATACGCGAATAAATAAGTCATGTGTACATTGATAAATCGGAAGGGGTGCTAATTGGGATTGTTCACTAGCCAATATATCAGCAAATATCGCTCTTATTACGTCGAAAACAGTATTTTATTTTTATTTCTTGTTTTTTTTGTAGGAGAGTCAACATCGGCATGTCTGGACTGAACATCATGTGGATCTTCAACTGAGACTCCAACACATAGTGCTATCAGTGTTGTCTGTGCTGGGTCACACTGCAGGCAGGGCTCACAGGGGATGGCTGGCCCATGGGTTGATGCAGCCCTTGGAATTACATCTACATCACAAAGATTAAAACCTTGTGTCAGTGTCTTGAGGCCCTTGGGGAGAATCAGTCTGCCATCAACGAATGACGATTAATGCCCCATGTAGGCAGATGGTTGGATGTCAACACTTAGGAGGGCAGAGTCTGTGTTGCAAGTTACACTAATAAGTAGTGGATTTTCTCATAATGATAATATGTTTTACAAGTGCATACGATAAAGAAGTGTACAGTTTCCTCTGAATACATGTTGGTTTTAATCACACAAAAGAATACTTCTCCGGGAGTCCATATACGTCCATTGTTATACCATTATCTTGGTGCTAATAAGGTCAAAAAATAAAAATAATGGTGTTTCAGGTAACCCGATCGATCCATTCTTTCACTTTCGACCCAAATGTTTTTATCACAGGTGGAAAGCCCTCAAGAAATCCAATTTTAACATTTAGTAAGTAATCTGATATATTGTTTCTTTAGCTATTTTGAGCTAATAATAGATATAATTTTCTTTTAAAATTTTGCGAAAGAACAAACAATCCCACCTACAAACCTATACGTCTCTGGTCCAGGTGACCTGAAAATCAAGTGTTTTGTTGTTTGGCCTAAGATTGGATGGGTGGAGGGATTGATCGGACCACCCTCGCAATGCAGGGGAATTTTGTTATGTTTGCCAACTTGAGGTGTCACACAAACCCCTGGGAATCGGCTACAGAGGGCCAGCGCTTATTTCTCCTGGAATTCTCTCTCCTCTTTTACTCTGTTGAATACTGCTGTCAATAAATATATTGCTATTAAGTATGTAATATATGTGGTGCATCAAATGCATGAAAAGAGAGATTCATAGGGTTAAATTGTATGCTGTCAGTTTTGTCGTTTGATACAATGAGATTTTTACTGGACTCTCTTCATGAGATTATTGATAATTGTGTTAATTCTGGGTTAGAATACAATAGTCCACAGTAACCTATGCTGGTCAGGCTCGGTGACTGAGTTGATAAAGTGTTGTACTTCGATGACGTGGATCACTACTCATAACATCAATCACTGGATTGTCTAGTCCATACTCGATTGTTTACAGGATGCCATGATGTAGCTAGCTACTGCTGAGTGCAGCGTTAAACAACAAACAAACAAACCCGCATGATGGATACTCATGATGTCAATCACTGGATTGTCTTGTCCAGACTCGATTATTTACAGACCGCCGTCATATAGCTGGAATATTGCTGAGTGCAGCGTTAAACAACAAACTGACATATTCTTGAAAGTCTCTTTGTTAGATTTGGAGAGAGTGAGTTAATATTTAACATTACATCAGCAATATTGCAACAAGGAGCAGTTATCATTGGGAGTGAGTGAGTGAGGGAATGAGTATGGTTTTACGCTACTTTTAGCAATATTCCAGCAATATCATGGGAGGGGACTCCAGAAATGGGCTTCACACATTGTGCCCATCTCGGGAATCGAAACCCGGGCCTTCGGCGTGACGAGCGAATGCTTTAACCACTAGCCTTAACCACTAGGCTACCTAGCTGCCCAGTTATCAAAGGGGCATGTGTGGAATAGCACAACCAGGGTTTTAGGGTGTGCTGACACTCATGCATCAATATATGTGTGTGTACCAGGTTGGTAGAAAGGGGCGCTTCATATATAATCCAGCAACCCATGCTTGCCGTAAGAGGCGACTATGCTTGTTTTAAGCGGAGACTGCTTGTCATATCATTATGAGGTGACTAACGGATCGGGTGGTCAGGCTAGCTGACTTGGTTGATGCATGTCATCGTCTCGATTGTGTGGATCGATGCTCATGATGTCAGTCACTGGATTGTCTGGTCGAAACTCAATTATTTACAAACCACTGTATGTAGCTGGAATATTGCTAAGTGTAGCGTTAAACAACAAACAAACAAATCATATGATCCTGAGGACGAACCTATGAACATTTTGTATATCTGTACATGATAAAATATTTTTCATTCCTTTCATATAGCAGTCTACAACCTTCATGTTTACAGCTGTCTTGTCAAGAAGTAATTCATGAACATCATTCATTGTACATGCCCATTGTCATTGTGAGGTTGGTGACTGAGAGGAAGCATTCTGTGGGAGTTCTGACATCAATAAATGTTGATAAAATGACACTTTGTTTTGTTTTCAACATCTTCCCAAGCAAGGGAACTAACTGACTATTCCATGTTTTTAATCAAGGGATGTGATGTACTTCGTTCAGCAAGACCTGTTTTATTACAAAATAGATCTTGATTATCGATCAGATAGTGTTCACTGGCCTCGCTCGTTTTGTTTAAAACAAATGCAAGTGATATCAGCGGTGGAATCTGATTGGTCAATAGGTGGGACATAGAAGGGACATAACTCGTAATAGCCACTGGTGGCGCTACCATCGAATCCAGAAATTCCGACCTAGTTCGGCAAGGGTGGAGACTAGACTTTTACAATCAGTTAATCCTTGCCTCGGGAAGATGGTTTTCAATGAAAAGCAAGATTTGTGAAAAGGACAAAGTATGTTGTTCACTAGGTTACTTTGATGTTCTGTATACATGTCACATATAGATACAACATGCATATAGAGGAAACACTTAGATTTGAAAGATGAATAATATAACATTATAACCTACATGCGACATAACCATAAATATTTGAAAGCAAACAACATACAACATCAAGAAACGCTAGGACTCCATAGACATAATTCAAAACCGGGTTCGCCTGATATTTCTTGGTTTGCCAAATACCTGCTCGTGGGTTTCACCTAAGTGGTAAACGTCTGAGACCGGCATCACTTCGGGCTTTCCTCCCACATTAAGCAGACATATAACTGAAATACTGTTAAATGAAGTATTAAACCAACTAACTCCAAATAACATGTAACACAAAAGACGAATCTTTGGATTTGTGCGTGCGTGACTATCTTGCCCCAGGACATAACGTGCACGTGAATAAGCTCAGTGAACATTGTACGTGCACTATATGGTGGCGACTCGCACAGTTCATCACGCCTAAACAGAGGTCTTGAATGTCTTTTTAAATACGGTTATCAAAACAATTCTGTTTAAATATGCCAGATGTCCAGGTTCTATGAACAATAACTAGGAAGTGTTTCAAGTTCTATAGTGGAGATGGCATCTGGCTTTAACTGATATTTCAACTCCAACCTTTACCTAAAACACCCCTAACAGCCACCGATAGAACACTAGCGATAATCTGCCGTGGCTTGCATGTCTTTGAGCAAGAGTGCTGGGTCTCCACTGCAGCCTGGTGACAGGTAGGGGAGGACTGATATCGGGTTATCTTGGGGTACTTCCTGGACGTGGTGCCTGCCCCTTCACATCAATCACCCTCTACCCTTCATTTTAATCACAAATACACCCGCCCTTCACATCAATCACCCATTTACCCTTCTCATTATTCTCCCACCCCTCACCCTTAATATTAATCACCCATCTTTCATATTAATCACCCCCTCGTTCTTTTCTGGGCGGTTTCCTAAAGCTGCATGCACTTATCTGAATCAACACGATGATCAAGTGAGTTTAAAGTCCCCCTCGGTAGTGGGAATGAGTGAATATGGTTTTACGCCGCTTTTAGCAATATTCCAGCAATATCACGGCGGGGGACACAAGAAATGGGCTTCACACATTGTACCCATGTCGGGAATCGTACCCGGGTCTTCGGCGTGACGAGCGAACGCTTTAACCACTAGGCTACCCGACCGCCCCGGTAGTGGGAATGTCCCAGCTCTATACTGGGCGGTCGGGTAGCCTAGTGGTTAAAGCGTTAGTTCATCACGCCAAAGACCCGGCCAAAGTCGGTCGGAGTGGTGAAACCGTTCACTCGTCACGCCGAAGACCTGGGTTCGATTCCAGACATGGGTACAATGTGTGAAGCCCATTTCTGGTGTCCCCCGCCCTGATATTGCTGGAGTATTGCTAAAAGCGGCGTAAAACAAACCCACGCACTCACCCCAGCTATATACATACTACATCACGGCGGCCTGTAAATAATTGAGTCTGGGAAAGATAAACCAGTGGTTGATGTAATGAGCGCCGCCCCACGCCAGGGTACGATGACACCCAAGCAACAAGTGTGTCCATCCCCTGATCACGCGATTAAAGTCAGTTGACACTTAGACAAACAATAGAGTGCTCACGGGGTTTGAAACCAGGAGAATGGAAACAGGTTGTGTTTTCAGGAACAAACGACCTACATGACAGATAATCATCTCCAACTTGCTTCAACACAGCCATCCGGTTTTGAACATTGTCACTTCCCAAAGAGTTTTACAATGTGAAACGGTTTAACATGGAAACCGATGCTCCGTACACGCATTGCTGTGGTTGTCTATCGTTATTGAGCACAGAACACTCGGCAGGTGGGAATACAGCTTTTTGTGAAAAGGAATGGTGCGTTTTGTGATAGCAAGTTAAAATACAACATATCAGAATAGCACAGAGCCAGGTACAGATATGATCCTGGTAGACGCCGCATACATGCTCATATATGCTTACATGTGTATAATCCACACGTATGCATTTTTTACTGATATATGTGATTGTTAAGATGAGTAAAATCGGAAAGCGGTCGGGTAGCCTAGTGGTTAAAGCGTTCGCTCGTCACGCCGAAGACCCGGGTTCGATTCTCGACATGGGTACAATGTGTGAAGACCATTTCTGGTGTCCCCTGTCGTAATATTGCTGGAATATTGCTAAAAGCGGCGTAAAAGCGTACTGACAAAAGCGACGGGGCATTGCAGTCCAAGATCCAATAAGGGTCAATGAACGAGTTGTCATAGCAATACTCCTGGCGTGACATTGCATATGTAAAAGTACTTTGCACATACTAGGACTAGGACTAGGTGCAGTTTGCACCATATACACAGGTATGTATTTGCGTTTGCGTGATGAATATACTCACGTGGTGTATTTTAGGAGCATGTAAACGGGCTACAACCATCTTGAACTAACTAGTTTGGAATTTTCCACAAAACAATCTGTTCACTGAGGGCCATCAAACAATCTATCCATTTTTACTATTAACACCCAACTCTTGACGTTTTGGGTATTTTCAACCAAACAAACTATCTATTTACTGAGGACCATCAAACCATCTATCCATTTTTACTATTAACACCAAACTCTTGACGTTTTGGGTATTTTCAACCAAACAAAATATCTATTTACCGAGGACCAAAAAACAATCTATCCATTTTCACAATTAACACCAACCATTTGACGTTTGGGTATTTTCAACCAAACAAACTACATGTATTCATTATTTTCACCACTGATGGACGCTCCCTACGTTGCCATCTGCATCGGACTGTAATGAGAGCTACACTTACCTAAAATCTCTAATTTCCCAATGCATTTACAAACGTTGGGTTTATAAAACCAATCCATATTTGTTTGTTTGTTGTTTAACGCGGCGCTCAGCAATATTTCAGCCATATGACGGCGGCTGTAAATAATCGAGTCTGGACCAGACAATCCAGTGATTGACATCATGAGCATCGATCCACGCAATTGGGATACGATAACCTATTCTAACGCGGATATCTTCACGGATCCGGATAACAAGTGGAATAAACCTATAGTCAGTATGCATCATCATCATCATCATCATCATCATCATCATCATCAGTGATGTGACAGTTTCTGCTTGGTCTGCTCACAAAACATGAAATTATTGTTATCGTTAAAATAGATGGCTGTTCTGAGATTCGAGAATGAATTTGAATGAACACAGAACACATGAAGCTATAAGATGCTACTGCTATATATCCCAGCTGGTATTCCGGGTTAGAGCACAGGTCCCCAGTAACCTATGGTGGTCAGGCTCAGTGACCTTTCTGGTGTCCTCGTACCTCGTCTGCGTGGATCGCTGTTCATAATATCAATCACTGGATTGTCTGATCCACATTATTTACAGAACGCCGTCACATATAGGTGTAATATTGCCGAGTGAGTGAGTATGGTTTTATGCCGCCTTTAGCAATATTCCAGCAATATCACGGCGGTAACACCAGAAGTGGCGTTCACACATTGTACCAATGTGGGGAATCGAACCCGGGTCTTCGGCGTGACGAGCGAACGCTATAACCACTAGGCTACCCCACCGCCCCTAATACGAATAATGTTGAGTGCGGTGTTAAAAGAACAAAGAAACACGTAATACTATTATATAAGTCGTCTATTATTTGTATTATCACTATTATTTAACTGTTCATGTTCATTTCGTGTCCCATGGACTGTTTTAGCAGATCTATTACACAGGACAAATATCATGGTGAGGTGAGGTGAAATGGGATTTATCGTCGCGTCCAAGATAATTGCACTTATATCGCCACGTGTCTGTCTGTCTGTCTGCTTGTGCTAGTCCGGACTGATGCTGAGTTTATAGTGCTAGCACACAGAGATACCATGCTGGAGTTTAACATGAATACCCCACTCAGGCACAGTATACCGACTCCGAGCCGACCAGTCCTTGTTATGGATCCCAATCGCGTGAATCGATGCTCATGATATCAATCACTGGATTGTCTGGTCCAGACTCGATTATTTACAGACCGCCGTCATATAGCTGGAATATTGCTGAGTGCGGCGTTAAACAACAAACAAACAAAAACAGCCTGGCTTTATCCCTTTAATGCCGAGCGCTAGAAAGGGTAACAACAAGTACCATTTTTTAACGTCTTTTGGTATGACGAACCCCGGACGCTCCACCACTAGGTCACAGTGGCGGTCCACAAGGATTATGATGAAACCGGAATTTGAGACAGTCACATGTAGATTATGATCACAGCAAAACAAACAGGGATGAATGTCTTGGTTGCCACATCTACAGTTGCACAATCCATCTCCATTGCCCAATACAACCAGAATAATGTATCACTGTGTGTGACTGCACGACAATAACACACCCATTTCATTGTATGTTTATTCCGGCTGTTTGTATCGATTCCCTCCGCTACAAAATGGAGTATTCTCAATCACGCTACAGACGCACAAACATACAGGTTATATTACTAACACACGCGATGAACTTCTATCGACTGCTAATTCTGGTTTCCGACGGATGTGATTATTTCTTTTGAACTGTGTTTATACAGCCCTTTGCCCTCTACTTGACGTATAATGTAGGGTGAAATAATTGATTGGCCACAGTGCACCTTGCTACAGTCGTTGTATAGGTTATGAAAGGTATGTTGACTAGTAACTTTGTCGGACATGTGTACTTGAACAATCTGACATTTTACGTGAGTACTTAAGGCGAGGAGGTTACATGTGACCCGTGAAGATTCCGGGTTAGAATAGGTCTTCAGCAACCCATGCTTGCCGTAAAAGGCCACTATGCTTGTCGTAAGAGGCGACTAACGGGATCGGGTGGTCAGGCTCGCTGACTTGGTTGATGCATGTCATTGATCCCAACTGCGTGGATCGATGCTCATGATGTCAATTACTGGATTGTCTGGTCCACATTATTTACAGAACGCCGTCACATATAGGTGTAATATTGCCGAGTGAGTGAGTATGGTTTTACGCCGCCTTTAGCAATATTCCAGCAATATCACGGCGGGGACACCAGAAGTGGCGTTCACACATTGTACCCATGTGGGGAATCGAACCCGGGTCTTCGGCGTGACGAGCGAACGCTATAACCACTAGGCTACCCCACCGCCCCTAATACGAATAATGTTGAGTGCGGTGTTAAAAGAACAAAGAAACACGTAATACTATTATATAAGTCGTCTATTATTTGTATTATCACTATTATTTAACTGTTCATGTTCATTTCGTGTCCCATGGACTGTTTTAGCAGATCTATTACACAGGACAAGTATCATGGTGAGGTGAGGTGAAATTGGGTTTATCGTCGCGTCCAAGATAATTGCACTTATATCGCCACGTGTCTGTCTGTCTGTCTGTCTGTCTGTCTGTCTGCTTGTGCTAGTCCGGACTGATGCCGATTTATAGTGCTAGCTCACTGAGATACCATGCCGCAGTTTAACATGAATACCCCACTCAGGCACAGTATACCGACTCCGAGCCGACCAGTCCTTGTTATGGATCTCAATCGCGTGAATTGATGCTCATGATGTCAATCACTGGATTGTCTGGTCCAGACTCGATTATTTACAGACCGCCGTCATAAAGCTGGAATATTGCTGAGTGCGGCGTTAAACAACAAACAAACAAAAACAGTCTGGCTTTAGCCCTTTAATGCCGAGCGCTAGACAGGGTAACAACAAGTACCATTTTTTAACGTCTTTTGGTATGACGAACCCCGGACGCTCCACCACTAGGTCACAGTGGCGGTCCACAAGGATTATGATGAAACCGGAATTTGAGACGGTCACATGTAGATTATGATCACAGCAAAACAAACAGGGATGAATGTCTTGGTTGCCACATCTACAGTTGCACAATCCATCTCCATTGCCCAATACAACCAGAATAATGTATCACTGTGTGTGACTGCACGACAATAACACACCCATTTCATTGTATGTTTATTCCGGCTGTTTGTGTCGATTCCCTCCGCTACAAAATGGAGTATTCTCAATCACGCTACAGACGCACAAACATACAGGTTATATTACTAACACACGCGATGAACTTCTATCGACTTCTAATTCTGGTTTCCGACGGATGTGATTATTTCTTTTGAACTGTGTTTATACAGCCCTTTGTCCTCTACTTGACGTATAATGTAGGGTGAAATAATTGATTGGCCACAATGCACCTTGCTACAGTCGTTGTATAGGTTATGAAAGGTATGTTGACTAGTAACTTTGTCGGACATGTGTACTTGAACAAACTGACATTTTACGTTGAGTACTTAAGGCGAGGAGGTTACATGTGACCCGTGAAGATTCCGGGGTAGAATAGGTCTTCAGCAACCCATGCTTGCCGTAAAAGGCGACTATGCTTGTCGTAAGAGGCGACTAACGGGATCGGGTGGTCAGGCTCGCTGACTAGGTTGATGCATGTTATCGTATCCCAATTGAGTGGATCGACGCTCATGCTGTCAATCACTGGATTGTCTGGTCCAGAATCGATTATTTACAGACCGTCGTCATATAGCTGGACAATTGCTGAGTGCGGCGTTAAACAACAAACAAACAAAACGAACAAAGGTTACATGTCGAGGATGTGAATAGGAAAATAAATAAAACACTCACGCATTCACGCCAACGCACGCACGCGCCCGCCCCGTGTCAGGTCTACCAATATACAGGCAATATACGTTATATCGGCAAACACATGCTATTATTCACAAACCTATACTGACCCACCTGCTATATATAAAACATACATATATTATGCTGTTTCGTTGAAGGATAACGTGTTGATGAGAAAAACTAAGAAAAGACAGATCATATCCTAGTAACGGGGCTGATTATTTAGCCCATCAACAGGTTCACAGGAGGTGATGGGGTAGACCACTGCTTAAAACGGTGGCTTGCTGCGCCTAAAACCTGGGTTCGATTCCCCACTTGGGTACCATGTGTGAAGCATGTCCAAGATCCCTCATACCGAGACAAGGCTGAGATATTCATAAAATGGCATAAAACGGCGTGAAACATAAACAATTTCTAGTTCATGTAAATAAAAAGAACACGCTATCCCCATAAGAGAATGGAATCCACATATCTAGACTTGCCTATTAGGAGGGTAGAATTACTACACATCCATGGACTTATCTTTCAGTACAGCCTTTGAGGATGTCTTGGGTCCAATCTCAGGCGCCGGAATTAGGACAATTCCTTGTTCATGTTAGAATTCTGTGATTATGCGTTCGATTGCCAGATTCGTGCTGATTGTGATTCTGGGTTTGACACCACACCTATGCCCGTGGGTCTCACTTGGGCCCACTTGCACAAAGCGATCTTAGTGCTACGACTATTGTAAGCCTATGTTAAAGTATGGGAGTTACGATCATCTTAGCACTAAGATCGCTTTGTGCAAGTGGGCCCAAGGAGGTAAGCATCTTAGATATGCATCACTTCTGGCTTTTCTCCCACATCAAGCTGGTAGGCCGTGATAGGACTGAAAAAACTGATTAAAGCGGCTTTAAGTGAGTAAGTATGGTTTTACGCCGCTTTTAGCAATATTTCAGCAATATCTGGGACACCAGAAATGGGCTTCATAATTTGTACCCAAGTCGGGAATCGAACCCGGGTCTTCGGCATGACGAGCGAACGCTATAACCACTAGGCTACCCGACCGCCCCTAAAGCGGCGTAAAACCCAACTCACTCACTCACACACTCAGTGTGAACCTGTACATTTCAGTGTATTTTTTAAAAACTCATCATCTGACGTTCAGGCTCGACGTTGTTTTTATCATCCGTCAGTTTATCTTTATGGGACCATTTCACGTTAATTCATCGATGGAATAAATTCCCGACGAACATCTTCACATTCCAAATTACGTTTGCACACTAACGTTTATTGGCTTACCTACAAAAATATACGAAGCAGTAATATAAACCCCTCTTACTACAGACCGCCTCCGTGGTCTAGTGGTAGAGCGTCCGCCCGGAGAGCGGAAGGTCCGGGGTTCGATCCCCGGCTGCGTCATACCAACAGACGTTAAAAGATGGTGCTTGTTGTTACCCTGTCTGGCGCTCGGCATTAAGGGGCTAAAACAAGGACTGGTCGGCTTGGAGTCAGTATACTGTGTCTGAGTGGAGTATTCGACATGGTATCTCTGTGTGCTTGCACTATAAATCGGCATCAGTCCGGACTAGTACAAGCAGCCACACACACACACGTGCATGCACGTCGCTATATAAGTGCAATAATCTTGGAAGGACGTTAAGCCCCATTTCACCTCACCTCACCTCCCTCTTACTTCAAGTGCTATTCGTACACTTGAAATTACGTCACATCCCCACGGGCTCAAATGTTAAACCTCACATCGTTAAGAATCAACTCTTGGTAAATCAAATTCTCGTATATGCATCTTGACACGATACTCGCAAGTGTTACCAAGTTGACCTAGGTATTAAATGGTTACATTCTAATCCACGTCAACACCTGAAGAGATCCAGTAAGTGCTTTATGGATTTACAACGGGAATTCGAGTAGGTTGCAGTCACTGGAGGGCCCGATTCAAACTCGGCCTTGACTCCCCTGTGTTTCTTGTTATCCCATAAAAACGACCGACCTTCTTCGACGTTAACGTTTGCCTGAAGAGGCAGTTAATCTGTAGATCGATGAATATATTGGTTCGTTAAGCCATATTGATCTTAAACATATCTGCGACTGTTCCTTTACGAGGCAATTCCTGTTGCTTCTATTCATGCTCATGAAGTCAATATTGTGTCCGGACAAATTACAGTTTGGTAGCTGCATGTCGTAGTAGTGTAATAAATAGGCTTGTTTTCATTACAGCCGGCGTAAAAAAGTACATTTAGTTTAAAGGAATTCAACGTCTTTTCACCCACGCACACACACATCGACACTGTTATTGAGAAGCAAATATGAGCGAACACCCTTCACATTAGCGGCCTGCTGGTATGGGCTGATAAATGGGTCCGTATTATTACCAGGGGGTAGCAAGTCAATAAGCGATTGATTGTGATCAATTGTCAATGCCCTATGATCCCAATGGTCGTATTACAATTTAGTAGATTTATCGGACCCATTGACCCACCGTTTGGAGTGGCTTTCCGCGCGCCGCGATGTCAGTCATGACTCACATGAAAGCAGACGACAATTTGATTGTGATAGTTTTCAGCGAGGGGAATTAATAACTGGTGTCAGAGTGTTGAAATCATGGCCAAACAGAGCCACGAGGGTGATTTGGTGTTTGGACTATGATTATCAGCAGACGACAAATTGTTTGCCATGCAGGATGCCGAACAGCTGCCTTGATCGTAAGAAACGCCAGGAGAAATACTGGAGTGTTTTTTCGTTCGCGATCTCCTAAAATACTCCTTCTGGGGATAGATGGCTTTGGGCGGAAAAAACAAGTTTGAATATGATCGACTCAAGTCTTGTTCTTGAAACGAATAGACGACAGCTTTTGACAAGTCTCCAAAACCGGGATTCTAAAGCATTACATTGTTTGGCCATCAGTGTAGACACTTGGAACACGAACATGGTATGTGTGTTTGGAAACTGGCTACAATTATTTATTTGAGGGACGCCAGCATAAAGATAACCACTTTTGCTATTGATTTTCTAATCAATCATTTTGAATTGCGGATAAATTAAACGAGCGTGTTAAGTGTTCGTAATACGCTTGTCAAGAAAGCATCAAGAAAAGTGATTCACTGAATCCAAAAGCGTTTGAATATGTTTGGTACAAAGGTGAAACAGTTTGGTGATAAAGAGAAGGGAGACGACATTCTGATTGATGTTCGTTATGAAAAGCGGCATAATGGGACGGTCGTTATATAAGAACACAAAAACACCAGCAGATTCAGGTTTCAGGCCCGGGAACGATTGAGGACGACATTCATTATCGTCGGAATGCTCAATGTTACATATTTACCGACACTTCGCGTAGTGTATCTGGGACAACACATAGTGTTATTGAGACGTCAACAGTTTGACATGTCTGTTTACCCGGCGTCTTACGATTGCGGATTTACGGATATGGAGGACTTACGTCCTTGATATTGACCAATACAATATTCTTGATACTAATACCTACCACACCTGCACCTGGGCAACGCTTCAAGTCAGTGTGGTAATGAACAATCGGTGTCGTAAAGGACATTTTTGTTCTAATTCAGTTTGGATGACATTTTGTGTCCCTCAAGCTGCGGAAAATATGAGTTTAAAAATGTGTGTCTGATGGCATAGATGTACAAAGGATATGCCCCTGAGACAAACCCCAGGATAGACAGTATCAATAACCGGATCTCACAGGAACAGCCTCGGGTCGTCTTTTAGGAAAAGTTAAAATGATCTTGTGATAATGTGCTCATGTTGCCATACATTTAAACTGAATTGAAGTCGTTTCTTTCTTTCTTGGGGCTATAGGAACAGTGCGGGACGTTCCCATTGTGACTCCTGTACTTGGCGTACTCTGTGCACGAGGTCCTGGGCAGACGACAGTGCGATCTATAAAGAAGTCTGCTCCACGAGAATACACCGTACCTGCTGCGTGTGTCAGATCTGATAAAAATGCATTTCTAATGCATAAGAGTTTCAACAGTTTCAATCAGATTTGACGGAACGGAAATTGAATTTCTCGAAACCCAGAAACATAACTGCCACACTTTTATTGCTGTTGTAAGTACTTCTATTCCATCATTCCATATATACAACTTGTGTTTATTGCACGGAACAACAGCTCTCATCACTCGTGTTACCTTGTTCGTGATAAATGAGAATCAGCCACATCTCCTCGCGTGTGTTTTAATGACAAATCATTGGAATATCTCCCTGAAGTAGTTCTTCCAAATTGGGCGATTATTGTCTGGAATGACGATGGTCTGAGACACTGGACTTGTCAATACAGATACACTTGTTTCAACAATCACTACGGCAGGTTCCATTGTGTGTATGTTCATGACTTGCCCAAGAGGCTCGGAAACAACGGGAGAACGGATCTTGTTACAGTTTCACACACTTTCAGATATTGGTGTGTAGCGCTTTGTACCGCCTGTGTGATTAAGCGATAAATTCCGGGCTTTGATGACAAAACCTTTTTAACCAAGCACGTAAAAACAGTATGAAACATGGCAATGAACGTTGAATGAGTATTGTTCCTAACAAACCAAGAGACGCCATCTTGATCCAAGTGTTCCAGGATATTTAGGAAGGCGTTTCTGAAAACTGAATACCTACAATGATACGAGGGTGTTCCTGGTGACACACCGTGTCCATTTTGTGTTCAACGTCGTGACAACTGTGAAGCATACTCTTGGTGACGCCAAGGTGGCGTCGGTTTGCTGACGTTGAAGTTGATGGAGACGAAATTAGAGATCCGACTCTTTATGACAGAATATCAACGCCTGTCGCACTTCCCTTCACTTCACTTCTAGTCCATTCAAGGAGAAGTTGTCATGGATGGTAATAAAAGCAGAAAACATTTCCATCCGATGACGTCAGAGCGTTGTCTCCCTTTGGATGGGAGTACGGTTGAAGGTTGGTCGACGTCACGCGACCTTGACGGAATCATTACCAAGCACAGTGATATGTCGTCTGCTTACTTGCAAAGACTGGAAAAAAACCGGCATCGCCATGAAGAGGTTCAGTACAAACGTATGCAGAACATTCCATACGGAATCAGGTAATGTTCATCAAAAGGTTCATCACATGTTTTCGCAGGATAATATATTGATATGATCGAAACAAAAAACGTGATGTTCAAGTTAAATTGATTTGTGTTTTATGTATTCCCCTCCGAGTCGTATGTCTGAGTACCGACGTTTTATTTTTCTTGTCAGCAACAACCATTACAATATTGATACGATCGTGCTACTGATATATACCCCGTGACGAATCCGGGTTAGAATTGGTCCACAGCAACCTGTGCTGGATGTAAGAATGAGTGAGTATGGTTTTATGCCGCCTTTAGCAATATTCCAACAATATCACGGCGGGGCCACCAGAAATGGGCTTCACGCATTGTACCCATGTGGGGAATCGAACCCGGGTCTTCGGCGTGACGAGAGAACGCTTTAACCACTAGGCTACCCGAACGTCCCACTGGATGTAACAGGCGACCCAATGTATCAGGTGGACATGTTCTGTGATGGTTGATTGCGTGTCATCGTACCCCGACGTCGTGGATCATTGTTCACAATATCAATAACTGGATAGTCTGGTCAAGACTCGATTCGCTAGCTGGAATATTGCTAAAAGCGGCGCAAAATCCAACTCATACACTCACTCACTGCAGAGAGACATACTCCATTGCCAAGCACACACACACACACACACACACACACACACACACACACACACACACACACACACACACACACACACACACACACACACACACACACACACACACACACACACACACACACAATTTCGACGTACTTGGGTCTTCTCGGCTTATTCCGCGACAAAACATCAGAGTTAGTGAGTGAGTGAGTATGTTTTTACGCCGCTTTTAGCAGTATTCCAGCAATATCACGGCGGGGACACCAGAAAAATGGGCTTCACACATTGTACCCATGTCGGGAATCGAACCCTGGTCTTCGGCGTGACGAGCGAACGCTTTAACCAGTAGGCTACCCGACCGCCCTTAATACATCAGGCGGTGGCGGTGAGGTAGCCTAGTGAATAAAGCGTTAGCTCGTCTCGCTGAAAGCCCGGGTTCGATTCTCCACGTGGCTGCAATGTGTGAAGCCCATTTCTAGTGTCTCCCGCCGTGATATTGCGTAAAACCATACTCACACACGCAAATCGGACCGCCTCCGTGGTCTAGTGGTACAGCGTCCGCACGGAGAGCGCGAGGTCCGGGGTTCGATACCCGGCCACGTAATACTAAAATACGATAACAGATGGTACTTGTTGTTACCCTGTCTGGCGCTCGGCATTAAGGGGCTAAAACAAGGAATGGTCGGCTCGGAGTCAGTATACTGTATCTGAGTGGGGTATTCATGTTAAACTGCGGCATGGTATCTCGGTGGGCCAGCTCTATACATCGGCATCAGTCCGGACAAGTACAAGCAGCCACACACACGTGCATGCACGTCGCTATATAAGTGCAATAATCTTGGATGCGACGTTAAACCCCATTTCACCTCACCTCACATTTCACATCGGACAGGAATAGAATAGTGACAATGCATGGTTTCAAGGTAGGCTTTTTAGCTACCATCCATGTGGGGATTCCGGGGTAAATGACATTGGTTTGTCTAGTCCAGGCTTTGATTATTCACAGGCTGTCGTAGCTTGAATATGGCTGATGACCTAAACAATAATCACTCAATCACCGCTATTGCGTACCATTCACATTTTTACAACGCGATTGATGCGTTCGTAAATATACATTTCATTCCGAAGATTTTCTAACCTTGCCGGAAATTGTCGACTTCCAAATACGAAGTGATATGTATTCTATTTTAAGTGTCGATTTGCGAGATTAAGACCTTTCAATAGGATCCATTTTAAGGTTAGAAAACCTTAGGCTTTTAAACAGCACTAAATGTTACACAACTATAACCACTGATACGGCCCGTGTTCATCGTTACATGCAACGATTTATACTGTCGATCAGTGTTATCCCGAATATAGGAGCGTATATAAAATGGACAGCATCGTAATTGATTATTCAATATCGGATACGAGAGACAATCTGATTGCGTGCTATATCATTCTGTTCAATCTAGGCCTATTATCTAAGTCTCCTTGTCTGAGGTCACGCCACAAGGCCAGCAGGAGATATCTCACTGTCCTTGCTGACTGACTTGTTTGTCAGGCGATAATACTGTTCCTCACAGCACGTGCCGTGGTGGCAGACGACATACCGGGCGACATCTATCGCGGAACATGTTAAAATTGAGGGAAACAAAGACGAAGGATGGCGATCCATATTTTCTGTTTTAGATTTCAGCAACTTTCATCCTGATCTGTAAATACATGCATATACGTAGATAGTAGTGTGTCATTGAACAGGTGTTTGAAGACGTACAGTGGCGTACAGCCACATGCATCTACTACTACTGCAATTACTACTACTACTGCAATTACGACTACTACTACTACTACTACTACTACTACTACTACTGCAATTACTACTACTACTGCAATTAGTACTACTACTACTACTGCAATTACGACTACTACTGCAACTACTACTACTACTGCAATGACTACTACTACTACTACTACTGCAATTACTACTACTACTGCAATTAGAACTACTACTACTACTACTACTGCAATTAGTACTACTACTACTGCTACTACTACTACTACTACTACCAGTACCGATACTACTACTAATGCTGATACTACTACTACTACTGCTACTGCTACTACAGCTTCTGCTGCAACTACTACTACTACTGCCTACAGCTGCTACTACTACTACTACTACTACTACTGACTACAGCTGCTACTGCTACTACTATTACTACTACTAATGCTACTGATGTCGCTTCCGCCACTACTACTGCTGCTGCTGCTGCTACTACTACTACTACTGCTACTGGTGCCGCAACTACTAATACTACTACTGTTGCAACTGTTACTACTACTGCTGCTGCTGATACTATCACTACTGCTACTGCAACTACTACTACTATTACTACTACTACTGCCATTACTTCTTCTACTACCATTACTACTACTACTACTTCTACTGCTGCTGCTGCTGCAACTACTACTACTGACATTACTTCTTCTACTGCCATTACTACAACTACTACTACTACTACTACTACTACTAGTACTACTACTGCTGTTGCAACTACTACTACTACTACTACTACTACTGCCATTATTTCTTCTACTGCCATTACTTCTTCTACTGTCACTACTACTGCTGCTGCAACTACTACTACTACTGCTGCTGCAACTGCTACTACTATTACTACTACTACTGCTGCTGCAACTACTACTACTACTACTATTACTATTACTGCTGCTGCAACTACTACTACTACTACTACTGTTGCAACTGTTACTACTACTGCTGCTGCTGATACTATCACTACTGCTACTGCAACTACTACTACTATTACTAGTACTACTACTGCTGTTGCAACTACTACTACTACTACTGCCATTACTTCTTCTACTATCATTACTACTACTACTACTACTACTGCTGCTGCTGCTGCTGCTGCAACTACTACTACTACTACTACTACTGACATTACTTCTTCTACTGCCATTACTACAACTACTACTACTACTACTACTGCTGTTGCAACTACTACTACTACTACTGCCATTACTTCTTCTACTATCATTACTACTACTACTACTACTACTGCTGCTGCTGCTGCTGCTGCAACTACTACTACTACTACTACTACTGACATTACTTCTTCTACTGCCATTACTACAACTACTACTACTACTACTACTACTGCTGTTTCAACTACTACCACTACTACTACTGGCTACTACAGGCTCGGTGACTTGGTTGATTGCGGGTACCCCTAAGTCCGACAGCGTGGATCGTTGCTCACAATATTATTTACTGGATTGTCTGGCTCAGATTTGAATATTTACAGATCGCCATCACATAGCTTGAATATTGCTGAGTGCGGCGTTCCACAACACACACATACATGCACCCACACACAAACGTGCGCGCTCTCTCTCTCTCTCTCACACACACACACACACTGCTCTCTCCCTCACACTCACACGCTCTCTCTGTCAAACACACGCTATCTCTCTCACACACACACACTTTCTCTCGCTCACACACGTTATCTCTCTTTCACACACACGCTCTCTCCCACACTCACACGCTCTCTTTCTCTCTCTCACACCCATGCTTTCTCTCTCTCTCTCACACACATGCTCTCTCTCTCTCTCGCACATACACACTCTCTCTCACACACGCTCTCTCTCACACACACATGCTCTCTTACTCTCGCACACACAGGCTCTCTCTCTCTCTCTCATACACATGCTCTCTCTCTCTCTCGCACACACACACACTCTCTCACACACACGCTCTCTCTCACACACACATGCTTTCTTACTCTCGCACACAAATGCTCTCTCTCTCTCTCGCACACGCACACTTTCTCGCACACACGCTCTCTCACGCACACACATGCTTTCTTTCTCTCTCTCAAACACATGCTCTCTCTCTCACACACACACGCTCTCTCTCTCTCTCGCACACACGCTCTCTCGCACTCTTTCTCTCGCACACACGATCTCACTCTCTCACACTCTCTCGTTCACACACATGCTTTCTCTCTCTCTCTCTCTCTCTCTCACACATGCTCTCTCTCTCTCACACACACACTCTCTTTCACACACGCTCTGTCACACACACGCGTTCTCTCTCTCACAAACACGCTCTGTCACACATGCTCACTCTCTCTCACACACGCTCTCTCTCTCTCGCACACACGCTCTCTCACACTCTTTCTCTCGCACACACGATCTCACTCTCTCACTCGCTCACACTCTCGTTCACACACATGCTACCCCCCCCCCCCCCCCCACACACACACACACTAACACACGTTCTATTTCTCACACTCACACGCTCTCTCTCAAACAAACACACACACACACACACATACTCTCTCTCGCACACATGCTCTATCTTTCTCTCGCTCACACACGTTCTCTCTTTCA